TTCAAGTAGTAGATAAAAATAAGAATGTGTGTCTTTGTCGGGAAGGTTTGCAAAAGGTTAAGTGAAATGTAGGGAAACGATGAAAACGTGGTCACGTTTGCCGTTTGCGAGAAGGAAAAACGGGAATCTTAATCTGCCTATTATCTCAAGAATTTCCCGAATATTTTATGCTTTTTGTGCAGTGTTTGTTTTTGTTTTTGTTTTTTTTCTTTAAAACATTAAGGAGTACGTTCTCGCATTTCTATGTCGGCCCTTCTTTTCAAGCTGCTGACTAATCTTTTGTGCTTTTATTGCAATGGTATACTGCACCATTGGAGCATGCGCTGTTTAGACTCGAGCTTTTTAGACCAAAAGTCGTTCTTAGATTCTGCATTTTTCCTGGTCAGCAGCGACAACTGACGCTCTGAACAGAGGAAAAAAGGCTCTGGAAACAAAAATGTTAAGATCACAGAAATAATTGATAACTTTGATCTTTATCATGGTACGCGCAGTTATGATCCTACAAATTTCTGCCTCGTTTATTCTCGCCGTCAGCTATACTTTACAAGTTCTTTTTCCCCCAGGTCTGTTAAATTGTGGAATAAACTCCCTAGTTCTCTGAAGCATGCTGAATCTGTCCCAAAATTCAAAGATCTTATTTTTTATCATTTTAAGGATAAAATAACAATATTATCATACAGACCGCCTTAATTTAGCGCGTTAATAATCTTGTACAGCATTACTATCCTTTTGCCTAACGTACAAGTGTTCCATCGTTTTCGTTAATTATTATTTATTCAATTATTATTTATTCTATTATTATTATTATTATTATTATTATTATTCTACTATCATCTATTTTAACTATTTGTAGTTTATAAGGGGCTGAACAGCAATTGGGGCGATAAGTCTCCGTTATTTTCTATTGAAGAAAAAATAATATACTAAACTAAACTATTGTTACTGTACTACGAAAGAAAATGATTTTAGGACATTGTACCTTGTTCTACGAAAACTAAGGTTGTCACTGATTTCTAAAAGAGAGTGTCGGATAAATTAAGATCGTATTTTTGTAATATGTTTAGAATAATATAGAACGAGTCCAACAATAAAATCAATAACTATAAAAGATACTAAATATTACAAGTCCTTACTTGGACGCTGCTGCCGATACCTTGTACTTTGTTGATCGTTCATCAGACAGACAGGCAAACACCTCTATATAACGACCAGTCAAGGTACTATGGAGTGTCCGCATTATGGAGGTGCTCATAAGGTTTAAGGAACAATTGGGCCTAATACGGTCAGCCAAGGTACTGTGTAATGTCTGCATTATATATATATATATAGGTGACCATATAAGATAAGGCTCCTTAATACAACCAGTTAAGGGCCGTGAAAGATACGTTTCATGGCGGTGCCCAAATGGCAAGGGAAGTTGAGCCTCTCTTTATCAACCAGCCAAGGGAATTTGCAGTATCCGAATTATGGAGGTGCCCAAAAGGTAAGCGATGATATCAACAAGGCTCCTTAAAACTATCTATGTTATCGAGGTTTTYGTTAGACCACAAACGACAAGTGTCGAGCTAGGGTTTAAGTTTAGAAGAGCTTACTATTGCAGCAACATTTCTATTGTCATAGTAACGTCAACTATTCTCCACCTTGTGTTTACCAACCTTGGTCAACCGTATCCAACAAGTTCAACTAAGACAACATTTTATTTTCTCGATACATTTATACTTATATTTATACTTTTACTTACAAAAATGAATATATAAAATGCTATCCTTATACGTACTGGTTGCTCACCCCACCCCAATTCCCATCGTCTCTGGTGAAAAACCTCCACCGAAAGGGGAGGGGGTCGGGCAGCATTTGTACGTCACCTATAACTTTATGGTTTAAAACTAATTGTATAAACTACTATGGTTTAAATACTGAAATATTCCTATCGTGCTATATTGACTTTCTAAGTCTAATAATTTGAACTTTAGTTTGGAATATTTAAAATCTTAGTTTTCGTATCTTTCGTTTTGGAATCAACGTTATTTTGCAGTCAAAGCATAGTCAATCGAGCGGAATGTTTGGGAAACCTATTGTTCTAGGTTTTTGTTTGACTTTATCCATTGTTAATAAGGAAATTAGTATTTTCAGCCATACTTGCTTTGGTCCATTGTGCAGGGTTAGTATCACGTGATAGTACGGTTCAACATCAAACGCAAAACAATAGCTTTGTTCTATGGAGTTTCCAAACCATTCTACTCCAATAACTATGGTCAAACGTTTGGCTGCTAAAGACAGATGCACCTTTCATTCGAAACTAAACCAGCTGTGTTAAAAGGGAACGTATTGTTTCTTTTGGTGTTTATTCCATATGTGTTGGGGGAGGGCTCTGTGGCTCCTCCTCATCTTTGTCACTTCTCATTCCTGGTTTAAGCGAGGCACGTGTTAATCCCCAGAACTTTGATGGACTTAGACCTTTCTTGACTGCAGTGAATCGCCACCCAAGATGGTTGTGGCAATGCATGCATTCAGCTATTGTCCATGCGTACCTAGACAGATTGTCAAACATAGTAAATGAAAAATACGAATTAACAACACATTTAACCAAAACCCTTGGCATTCAAATCAACTCGTATTGTTCTGTAGTGCTAACATTCCTTACCATACAATGGACCTTAATGTAAGAAAAGAACACATTTGTACACAATCGAGGCTAAGACTGAGCAAATGCGAACTCGAAATGGGAGAATTGAATCTGGTCCAATCTGATTTACATAAGAAAGAATTTAGTTTCCCAGGGAAAAAAGACTATTGTAGTGGCTCCTGTCATGGCTGCCATCACATGGTGCAAAGCCTCTATACAACAAAAATATAATGATTTCAAACTTACCCTGGGAACCAGCTATTTTCAGCTGTAGGTCGCCCTCTTAGCCTCACTCCAGTGGCTTTATAAAATGTCAATGTCTCATGTACCCATCCACTAGGATTGACGTAAGCAGCTAGAGGACCATCAAGTGACATACTACAATGAAAAGGAAATGGTATGTATGCAAACCAATAATCAAGGCATAAGAGAGAGAGTTTTTGAGACTAGATAGACTAGATTGGGAAGCACATGTGGTGTAGCAGTGAGAGTGCTTCAATGTGATCAAGGTTTGAGTCCTGCTGGCCTCCAAGATATGTGTGAGTGGAGTTGTTGGTTTTCTCCTGTGCTTTGAAGGATTCTCTGTTTTCCTCTCCCTTCTCAAAAATCAACTTTCAAATTCCAATTCGATCTTTGGGCTTTCACCTAGTTGGAGCCGAGCTCTGTTGTTATTGTCCCATGCTGTGATACAACAGCTAAAGCTAAATAGATTTAATAGAAAACATTTAATAGAAAAGAGATCGAGTTGATGAACTCACCAGAATAAATCATTTTTGTAGCAAATAGTAGTATTACAATCACCACAACACAAAACACTACACTATAAAGACAAAATATTAAGTACTGCATTGGTTAATGTCTTAATGAAATATCTTTAGTAATAAATCATCAATTATTAGTAATAATATTAATTATCCATTAGTCCAGAATAAGGGGTGGCTCTAACTTCTTGGTCCCCCTTTTCTGCATGTATAGGTATCGGGTGTGGCATGTGTAATAGCATGTATTATGAGGTGGGGTGATGATCACAAGTTTTCTTTGCCCCCCCCTCCCTTTGTCATGGGCGTGGCATGGTGGTACATACCCTATACATCATTTTGAGTTCTTTACGCAGCCTTTCTGTTGTGGAATCAACGTACAGCAACTCAAGCTTTAAGCTGTCATCCAAAGGGAGGTTGGCTGCAACCCAGTACGAAAAATCTAAAATCACAAAAAAATCCATGCCTGATCATTTTTAGTCTTCTGCGCAGCTGCTATTAGTGTTGTCACACAAAGCTTACTGAGTGAGCGTGGGTTGATGACCCTAAGACTGGCTGCTTAGGAGACTAGATACTTTAATGCTAATCTTGTATTGTGGAAGGAAATGTATCCAAGCATATTACTCTACTCAGAAGCTGGGTATGTCCCTTTTAACGGGTTTGCCTAATGGTTGGTTTTGGGTCCTCTGGGGCATCTTATGGTTCTTTGGGACATCTTTTCTATGGGGTATAATTATGCAAAGGACATTAACATACACTACCTATGGGGTCCTTGGGGACATTATCTAGCCTTATTGTTTGACTCCATCTTTGTAATTCTTTTTTAACTTCATCCATCAACGTGAACTAAGGAAACAAGAGAAGAAATAAGAAACAGTGAGGTTTTTAAAAGAAAGGGAGAGGCAGGGATGTGCAAAGAAATTCCCTGACCCTCCCCTCCCCTCTGGTTATCGTTACTTACTGGATCATAAAGTTTGTAGACCCAAGCCGGCCAGCTGCTCAARCTCGTATTGATCTGGTACAAAAACCTCAGTTTTAGACAACAAAACTTTTAAAGGTCATTAGATATGTTGAAGAAATAGAAAACGTGTGTGTGTGTTGTCTGCAATAATTACAAAGCATGCGAGGGTTGGCAGAACGGTGCAGAAGTGTTAGGAGAAGCATGACATTTAGCTAAAAGCTTCTCAATACTTCTTGAATGTTCTGCCAATCCTGAAAACACTTTCATTTATCGCTGATCTCATTCTTATTTTGGCATTCCACAAATTGATAGTTGTGCCTGCAATATGATATTTTTTGAATCATACCATGTTCCTCCTTGTAGAACCAAGTCTTGACTTACTAAATGTGGGCCTAGATCTCTCTAGACTACCATTACATGTTGCTTGGCAACCAGACTTGTGATAGCAAGAGATAAGGCCTCCTTCTGGGTGTGAAGACAACATTATCTCAGGTAATATATACACTTTTGCCATAAGAATTCTGAAAGATATTATAGCAACAGTGCAAAGAATATTAAATTCAAGTTTTGGGTTTGCAATATATATACATGTGGCAGTCTTATAATATCTGACATTGTCCATTTATCACCACATAAGTCTGCAGAAGGAGGAAAGCCAGGAGAACGCTTGAAGCAAAGGAGCTGAATGACATGGGACTCTAGGTCCTGTTTGTGGCCACCCTCTTGGTCCTTCTTTATTGTATATTCATACTATTATTAATTATTTTTCTTTTCTTTTTTCTCTTTAGTTTGTTTGCTATTATTGTTTGCTATTGTTGAGAAATTTTGAAGGCCAATAAAGTTGTTTAAAAATAAAAACCCTATACAGATGTGATGTCACCCCAGACGTTAGCGGTGAGTGTACCACACCACGACACGCCCAGTAACTGAATCCCCTTATGATAATCGAACAATACCCGTCCTACGTATACATACCCATCCACTTGTCTTCTTAAGTCTACAATCTTGAACCTCTGTCGACCAGTGGCTTTAATTATCATGGTTGTTATTCCAGCTTCCACTTCTTCCTTCATGGAAAAGATTTCTACTGTCGTTCCTATAGATTCTTTCAGTTCATTCTGACTTACTCCGTGTCTGAAGGCAAACATTTTTAACATTACTATGGCCATTAAGTTTGTTTTATTCTATAGCTTGCTATAAATATGTGTTATTTCTGGTCTTGAATGGAAATTCTACCCGCTGAATGGCAAGTTTTCAATAGAAATGCCCATACGTGATCTAGCAGGATTGGGGAGGCAGTGTTTGCATGCCCTTCACTAATGGCTGGTAATGAGACTCATCAGATTTATTTCGGTTGATTAGTAACCAAGCAATAGAATACTATTTGTATTTATTTATTTATTTGCTTTACTCTCTAGTCAATATGAGATTTATTCAGGCAATTGATATCAAGCTACAGAATACTCTCTAGTTGATAGCACATGATAGAAAGTGTTTGGCTACTGTAGATAACGGGATTCATGACCTTCGTTCAGCTTTTTGATAACCAGCAACTAAAATGCATGGGCACRTTTCCTACTTTATTCTTTTGTTAAGTCTTACTTTGAATTGACCAAGCCAAATGTCCGATCCTTATCTATGACGTTTTTCATCATTGACACTGCCTGTAAAATGAAATTGCAAAATTAGAAAAACAAACAACTGTATTGGAAGAGTAGAGCAAGTGATAGAGCTTTAGACATGGGAAATGTAGAAAGAAGAGATGGCAAAATGAGAGGGATGAAAGAAAAGCATGAAAATGGAGACATGAGAGGGAGGGAAAGGATATAAAAACATGGAGGTGTGGATAGGCATTATTGAATATTATAGATGAGAAATAAGAAGGGATCAATAATTATATATGGGAATGAGATGGAAGGAAAAATGGAAGCATGAGAAAAGGAAAGAAATGCAAAAGTAACAATGGAAACCTAGAATCGTTATACCTGTGGATGAAAGAGATGTAAAGGTAGAGTCTGTCCTGGCACAAGGACGACTGTAGGAAACACCATCAAAGGTAGCTCTATGACGTTGTTTGGTTCTAAGACAGTTCTGCCACTAAACTCATCCATCTCTTGTCCTAAATACTGAAGAATACATCAAGAGAATACATCAAATATTCATAATGTAATTATAATAATATACTATCTTTAATATGAAAAAAGAAAGGAAGAAAAAAAAATATTTGAAAGTATTATGGCTTGACATGCAAAAGTTAGACTAGCGATAATGAATTTGTACACTTTTTATGCACAAGCTTTTGACCTTCACATCTTGATAAAAAAAATACATGAAGAGCATTACAGCTCGACATGCAAAAGTATGACTGGTGATAATGTAAGATTTGCATACTTTTATTCGCAGGCTTTCATATGTTAAACCAATACATTTTGATGCAAAGGACAAAGCTGGCTGGTTTTACCAAACAAGGCATGCAAAAGCTCATTTGGCAGCACAAACCCTGTGCATAGAAGTATGCAAAGACATTAAATCTGGTCATCATTTTGCATGTCACACTGCAATACCTGGACAGCTCAAGACTATTTCAAATAAATCAACCTACAGTGCTGACAGATCTTAAGGTAATGAAATTAGTTTATATTTTTTCATATTGATTTTAATATTAGTGAAAGACATATACCTCATGTCTAGTTGGTAATGCTGGATCGTACGTGATATTGATAGGTCTCGTACCTCCGTCATCATCGCTTCCAGCTAGAGAAAAATAAAAGAAAGACTCACGACAGAACATCTTAAAATATATTTTTTTCAATGTTTACAATTTTTGTTTACAATTCGTACAAAATTCTAAATATTGAGTTAAGCACTGCAGGAAGGAGAGCTGGAAATTTGAACCCCTTAGCGAAACAAGAATTTAAACTTTGATCTCCTTTGGCGTAAAAMTGAGATCGAAATGTTAGATTCAACATTTTCGTTCTATGAGATGTTTATGTCAAAATTAGAATTGAATTCGTCATAAAATCAAAGGACGTTTTTTATCAATGGAAAAACTGTTAACCCTGGAGAAAAATAAAGTTTGTGAGTTCTTTTTACCTTCASAACTAGAGCTCTCTGTTTCTGACTCGCTGTAAGGTTGGATTTCTTCAAGAGCGTCGTAGCCATTTTCAATATCTTCCTCTTCTTCGTCCGCCATGTTTGTTTTGAAAAGAGAAGCGTTTCACAGAATCATGGGWAATAGTATTTCATAGGGGAGGGGAGGGTGCTGAATAATTTTTGACATCTTTCTTTCTCGACAAAATAAATGTTTGGAACGTTTTTTGGATAGCATTTCGAAAGAAAATTCGTTGAATTTAACATATTTTTCATTTAATTATAATTGTTAATAGCAAATATGTGAATCATAGTTTTAGGGGGAAAATATCATTAGTTTTACTTTGTTAGAGTCCGAATCATTTCATTCGAAAGCGCGAGCTTTTTTCATTTATATCTATGGTTGTTTGAGGCTATTTTTTGATATTTTATTTTATTATTTCATTTATTTATTTCGGTTTTTTATTTGTTTAGGTTCCATTCCTTTCTCTGTCTCAAATGTCATTGTAACCAGCCAATCAGAATACGAATCGTAACTCAATGTGCAGTTGTCCAACAGCAGCAAAACACGAGCCAACTGGGCGAAGAAACGTCAATCTTATCTAGTAAAGCACAGATTTCTCTTCAAAATAACGCTACAACACCACGAATCGTCTGAAAAACCCTTATTCTACACCAGCAGGAAGAAATAAGGGATATTTATGCTATGAATTACGAACAGTTATTCGTTTTAACAACAGCAGCGTTGAGCGTGTTGGCGGCAGACTTCGCTTTAGCAAAGGACTATTATCAGATTCTTGGAGTACCAAGAAACGCTTCAGATAGACAGATTAAGAAAGCTTTCAGAAAAATGGCCGTTAAATACCATCCGGATAAAAATAAGAACAAAGATGCAGAGGAAAAATTTCGCGAAGTCGCTCAAGGTAAGTTAAACGTGTACCTAATTATGTGCAATGTTTGTATTTCCGCACTCAGTGACGAACTTATTTAATTGATTTTAAAGTCAAGATTTTTAAGAACTGTGTCTTTATCGTCTTTTTTTGTGTTTGGTAATACAAGATGGGGAAGAAAGGATAGTTTTAATAATTTTTTACGTCGGTGGCAACCATTAAAGTGCACCTTGTTTTGATAAATCGTGTCGTTTATCAGCTTGCGAATCTCGAATAAATTATTTTCACGATTTCGTTCTTTTTTCTGTCGAATCATTTTACTGTAGTGCTATGTAAATACCTAAAGTTGCTTCGAAATCCGGAAATTCTTTACTCGTACTTTAGTATTGAATATTTTCCAAGAACAGCTTTTAAAATTATTATTGACATTAATTCTTGTGACGTCAACTATTTCTTATGTCAGATTAATATAAACTTAATAAAAGCTTCTTTCGGTCTTTTTATTTATTTTTGAAGAAAGTAAGCAAATAATTTCTTGCTTTAACGATGATTCATCGAAAAGGAAAGGGAAAATTTTTCACCAGCTAATTTTAATCCTTATAAAAATGCTAATAATCCTAATCCTAATAAATATTGAAATTACAAGTATTGTTTGTTCAGATTACTTTCGTAACATTTATTGATTTACTTTTGCAAGCCCTCTAGTTACTCTGTTTATAGTGGAAATTTATTTTCAATATATCTTAATGTACTTTAAATTCTATGTATTTTTTATCGGATGACTAACTCCTAAAGTGATGAAAGAAAAAAATATTTGCTGGAGATTTCTTCTTAAATGGATATTATCCACAAGACAAGATAAAGATTCCAATTTATTATATAATTACCAATGAAATATCTATTTTTCTCTATTTCGAAAAATTGATATCTTCACGCGTGAAAATAACATGTTATTTTCACGTGTGAAAATAACACCATTGCGATGGCTATTCAAAAATACACGGAAAGAATTGCCTGAAAAAGCCAAAACATACTTCATTGATAATTATATACTAAACAGAATATTACATGGGCGCTTGGAGATACGAAATTTATCTTCTCGTGTTGAAAATCTCTCACTCGTTCGCTGCGCTCACTTGTGAGAGATCTTTTCAACACTCGAAGATAAATTTCGTATCTCCGCGCGCCCATGTAATATCCTCTATATATTTTTATTACATGAATTAATATTCCTTTAGCTAGGTAAGAAAAGTTCCTCAAAAAATGCACAAATATGAAGAGGGAATAGAGAAAAAATTATCAAAAAGCAGATGGACAGATATGAATTGGTCTGTTAATTAGTCTAAACAGAATTAGATTTTCAAATGATGTTTTGATCAGCTTTGTCAACTAACTAATATACAGTATACAAAAAAGAGTTCAATCGTGCATGTCTTTTTGTCATATTTTCATAGAACTTGTTTAAAAATGAGAAATTTTTGGTCTTACTGCTAGAAAAAAATTTTTGTTTTTATCCTGAAAAAGATAGTAAAATACATGACTCCAGCACTTTCTCACTGCCATCATGTGCACAGGTGATTTCTTAAGATGTCGTTCCATTTCTTTTTAGATCCATCACTGCTTAAGGTCCTTACACATGAATGGTTTTGCTCCTGGGTCTTGCTCCTGGAGTAAAGCTCCTTCATGTGTACCAACGATTTCATAGGTATAATCAATCCTTGAGAGCAGAATTTTCTCCCAGCAAAATGTTCCATTGTTATTAAACTGCTTAAATATCCAGGAGCAATGTCCAGGTTGCAAATTAAAAAACCCAAAAAAATTAAATCCATTTGACACCTTCAGGGCCCTTCAAAATGTTATTAGTCAAGTTTGCAGCTCCATAAATCCATTAATGAAAAAGGTTAACATATTATGTTTGAATTCACAGCATATGAAGTATTATCAGATGAAAACAAAAGAAGACAATATGATCAATTTGGAGAAGAAGGACTTAAGGGAAATGGTTTCGGAGGAGGCGGTGGCGGGGGATTCGACTTTGGTGACATTTTCGGTGACTTTAACTTCGGTGGTGGACACAAAACAAATGGAAATGGATTCAAGTTTTCTTTCGGTGGTTTTGATGATTTCTTTAATGACAATGAGGAGGAAGAAGATGAAGATTTTGGTGGAATGCACTTTGGTGGATTTGATTCTTTTTTCGGTGGTGGTGGTCATGCTAGACATCAGGAAAGACAAAATATGTTTGGAGAAGAGTTTCAAAGGACAGCAAGACGGTCAGAGTTCCATCAGTCTAGTGGAGGTAAGTAAGCACTTTATGATTATCCTTTGTTATCATGGAGAATAACACTGTAGACTTCTGACAATCAAACTAGAATCAACATGTATCTCAT